CTATGTTTTTTGTTTGTTTTGTTTTCTTTTTTTGGAGTGAGCTTTGGTAGTTGTTGTCTTTCAAGGAATTTGTCCATTTCATTGAAATGTTAAATTTGTTGGTATCAACATGCTATTATTATCCTTTTAATGCCTGTATGATCTCTAGTGATGTCTCTTTCATTCCTTATATCAATAAATTATGTCGATCAATTTTATTGATCTTTCGAAAGAAACTGCTTTCTATTTCATTGATTTTTCTCAGTGGTTTTTCTGTTTTCTATTTCACTGACTGCCACTCTTATCTTTTTATTTTCTTCCTTCTGCTTACCTTGGGTTTAATGGGCTCTCTTCTGTTTTCTTAAGGTGGAAGCTTAGATGATTGAACTAAGATCTTTACAATTTAATATAAGCATTTAATGCTATATGAGCACTACTTTACTTTTGTTGTATTCTACAAATTTTGATAGAGTGTGTTTTCATTTTAACTCACTTCATAATTTTTTTACCATTGGGATATTTATAGGTTTAATTTCAAAATATTTGAGGGATTTTCCAGGTATCTTCCTGTTGTTAATTTCTAGCTTAATTCTTTTGGGGTCAGAGAATATATTTTATTTCAGTTCTTTTAAATTTAATGTGATTTGTGATATGGCCCAGAAGATGGTCTATCTTAATGAATGTTCCATGTGCACTTGAAAAGATTGCGTATTCTGTGGTTGTTAATTAGAGCATTCCATAAATGTCAATCAGGTCAAGTTGGTTGATATTGTTATTCAAGTTTTCTATATTCTAGCTGATTTTCTGCCTGTTTTTGTATCAGTTATTGAGAGATCAGTTTTGAAATCTCTAAGCTAATTGTAAATTTCTTTATTTCTCTTTTGAAGAACTCCAATTCTTGCTTTGGGTATGTTGAAGCTGTGTTACTAGGTGCATGCATATTTAGGATTGCTATGTCCTTTTGATGAACTGACTCTTTTATCATTATAAAATATACCTCTTCATGTTTGGTAATATTCTTTGTTCAGAAGTCTGTTTTGCCTGATAGTAATATAGCCACTGCAGCTTACTTTTGATTTGTGTTTGCTTGGTATATTATTTTCCATCCTTCTTAACCTGTCTGTATCTTTACAATTAAAGTTGTTTTCTTGTAGACAGCATACGATTGGGATGTGCTTTCTTTTTGATCTGACAATCTCTGTATTCTAATTGCAGTGTTTAGTTATTCACATTTAATGCAGTTACCAGTATGGCTTGTGTTTAAATCTACCATGTTGCTGAATTAATACATCTAAAACAACTGATTGCTTTATTCCTCCCTACTTCAAAACCTTTAGTGATTCACTGTTCTCTGAGAAATAAATCCTTACATGCCCTAACATGGCATTTAAAGCCTTTTATAATATGATCCAAAATTATCATTTTAATCTTCTTTCTCATGATTGCCTTCATATACTCTGCATTTCAGGTACCATGTTTCCCCCAACACCCTATGTTCTTTCCTGTCTTTTCCCATTTGCACATTTGTAATTCTGTCTGGGATGCCATTTGCTTTTTGTCAAAATTAATCTCCCCTATCACAGTGAATCTTTATAGCATTAACCAAATTCTTCCTTATGTTAGTTATTCATATATATGTTTTTGTATGTATTTATGTTAGATATAATAAAGTATAATATATTGCATTTAGATCATTCACCATAGTCTATTAAATTTTTGGTGCGTGCTATTCCATTTTAATGTTTATCCTTATAGCATTAAGTAAGGTACATAGGACAGATATGATCAGCACCATTTTAAAGACCAGTAGAATGATGATCAGAAAGGTCACATGGCTTGTCGGAGGCCACATAATTATCAAACGGCAGACTTGGCCCTGAGCAGGAGAATTAAGTCCTTTGATACACTAAGTACAGGGCTCTTCCTGCTATGTCACATTTCTTCAATGTCAGTTATCACTTATTGATAATTTTTTAGTTCCTCACAGTGGTTGTGTGTAATCCAGGCTCAGTTCATGTTTGTTGAATTGTATACATTGACTTCACTCAGTAGACCTTCCAGGCTTGACAGGGAGTGAATAAAGTGATTTTTCTTGAATACTTTTTGTGGTAGGATGATACTAACTTTAGTTTTTTGTTGTTGTTGTTTTAATTTTTGCCATAACCTACTGTTATGGATTGACTGGTGTCCCATCAAAATGTGTTGTCTACTGTTTTGTCATCTGATATGATTCTCCTATGTGTTGTAAATCCTACCTCTGGGATGTTAATGAGGCAGGACTCAATCTACAGGATTAGGTTGTTTATCTTGAGTCAAACTCTTTTGAGATAATAAAAGAGAGGAGCAAGCAGAAAGGAGAGGGACCTCCTACTAC